TCCTTGATGTTAATGGCTGCATCATTCAATCATATAGAAATATTTAGCATGGCAGATTTGGCACCATTGCTTAAGATAAGATAATACTTTATTGATCCCAATTTGGGATTTATTTGCATTGCAGCAGAATAAAAACTAAAAAGACAAAAATAAGTACTGGAATTTATTGTATTGTGTGGACAATCCCGAAACCGAGACCAAAACAGGTGGGAGATTGACTCCTGAGCTTGATAAATGACTGTTATTTGATTTGCAAGTAACTATATGCACTACTGGTAACACACTCATAAAGGAGACAGGGTTATATCTTGTGAAACTCATCTTAAATGTCGACTTATTTTTCATTTTTTCCGTTTTCTGTCCACACTCCTTTTGACATCTCGCTCACTTTTTAGACCCAAGGGTGTTGGCTGGCATCTGTGTATGCATGCATGTGAGCATGTGAGGGTCGGTTTAGCCACATGTAGGGATTTATGGCAAGTGTGTGCGTGACAGAGGGATCAGGGAGTGACATGGATTGATATGGGTGAGTGCTGATCAGGTTTTAGTGCTGTTGTTATCTCTCGCTGGCTCTTTTTGTCGACGTGTTTGTATATTTTTGTGTCGTGCACTTATAATCTGTGAGAGATGGAATGCCCTCCAGCATCAGTGTTATACAGTGTGTGTGTGTGTGTGTGTGTGTGTGTGTGTGTGTGTGTGTGTGTGTGTGTGTGTGTGTGCAATGCCAAAGGGGCAGTGTAGACTGAGCAGCTGCTCTTTATAGTGACTGAGCGGACACCAATGTGTCGGGCATCTGCCATGCGTTCACTCTACCGCCTACCCACTGGAGTGTGTGTGTGAGTGTGTGGCCTAAGAGTGAGAGAAGCTGTGTTGTTGTTTTTGATTGTCATAATTTATTTTCCAGTAGTTTATTCATTTTGTAGCAATTGTAATTTGTATAGAAATATACATGTTGGTATTTTTAATAACAATTTAAAGGAAAATGTGGTTGTACATTTTTTTTGAGTGTGTGTGTGAGCTTGTGTGTGTTTGTGTGCCTCCACCAGCTGCTTAGACAGTGGACCATGTTGATCTTTCATGTTCAAGTCCAGTGTGAAAACTGTTTAATTCACACATGAACACATCCACACATGTGCACACAAAACATTTGCGTGTTACAGAACAGCGGTGTGTCCCAGTGTGAGGGGGGGGGTTGCTGTTGGTGCCACCTTTTCATTCCCATGACCTCAATCTGTGGCGGGCGCCCTGCCAGGCTGGCCGTCCCTCTGTCTGCTGGGCCTGCCGCAACTTCCAGAATGTGAAGAGGAAGCAATGGAACAGCAGTAACCTAACCTCACACACACTCTGACACACACATGTGCTAAACTCATCGTTATGCACTCATCTGAGGAAGAGTTATACTTTGTATCATGGATGTAATAAGAGAATTTGATCAAGCTTTGGAATGGGGCCCAGTATATTCCTATGAAAGTTGCTCAATGGCGCATGAAACCACAATGGGCCCAAAGAGCATGCACACTTCCATTTGACTTAAGCCCCGCCTCCAATTCACTATGTCAGCATAATATCCAGTTTGGCTCGGTCAAATTATTTGAGAGGAAAATAAGGCAACGGCTATTTGTACATCATACACATTTGACGACCTCATGCATTTAAATTGAATTCAAGTGTTTTTACTTGTTAGTTGATTTAGCTAAAGATAAATGATATGCTGTGCAGAACTCTCTTTCCCAATGACGTCACATAAATAAACATTTATTATATATTTTTTGTTTTGTTTATCGCTTTTTGTATTTCTTTGTTTTGTTTTTTGTTTTGTTTTTAATTCTCTGTCAAAGCGTCTTTGAGTTTCCTGAATGTATTATTATTATTATTATTATTATATTAACAAAAAAGGTAAATCAAAATTCAAAACAATGTTACACGTCACATGACGTCAACCATGGTGACTAGCAGACAGCAGAATTGGATCCTTCAAGTCGACATATAAAATTATGAATAGGGTTTTTTTTTTGTTGCAAACAACTTTATTTCCTCCATGATAGAAACATGTTTGACAGCCGGGGTCCCTTTTAAAAAAAGTTATCCAAAGCATTACCAGTCATAATGCAGTTTACATTATCAAATGTAAAATATGCATTAGTTTGAATCGATCCAGGTTCCCACTGGAATGCAGGTAGACTAAATAAGCTTAATGCAATGTTAAAGACATGTCACTGACCAACAATCTAAAGTGCATTTGTGATGCATTCATGGATAGTTGAAATAGTAAGAAAAAGTTGTAACCTTTAATACTTCATGGCTCACCTGTTCTGTTTACTTTGTTGCCACCAGGACATTGATTACCCTTTTTAATGTGTTTGAACACGGATCAAAAATAAAGCTTATGATCCAACCTAACGCTCATGCACACAGAGAAGATGGAATACTAACTTATCATTTCCCAACTCTCAAACCTCCCATAAACCTGCTGTGATGTCTTTCTTGTCTCGGGACAGTCTTTGAACGTTTTTAAAAGTTAAGTTGTTCTGCACATCTCAATACAAGGAGCAATATCAGATAGGAGCCAAAAAAGCATCTACATTGTGCTTCTCTGTCTTCATAATACAATTATGAACAGCTGACTCAGTCCCCAAGTACATAAATGAAAGACCTTTCACATCATTTTTACACACACACACACACACACACACACACACACACACACACACACACACACACACACACACACACACACACTCAGGTGATTTGAAGTATTTCACCTGTACAGATCAGGACTTTGGGGGCGTGCACCCTCTTACAGCTTTTTTTCCCTCCATCTCCTCCTCTTTACTTCTCTCCAGCTCTCTCTCTACACTTTCCCTCTCCCTCTGACACTAACCCTCTCTGACAGTGTCTCCAAGCTGTCGCACCCTAATCCACCTCTGAGAGGTGTTAAAGCACTTATACACACACACACACACACACACACACACACACACACACACACACACACACACACACACACAGTGTTTCTCTGGATCCCGTAAGGTATCGATCTGCCGTCCCGCTCACTCTAATGGGATTCTTTACACCTAGGCATCAGCAACGCCTAATGCATCACATAACATCTGATGCAGCAGACACACACACACAAACACTTACATAAACAAAAATGAATAGATGCTATAAGAGGAGAACAGCACTAAACAGCTTATGATGCATATGCTGTTCAGTGCATTCTCTTCTAGACTACACTCCATATCTCTAAATCTAACAGTGATGAATGACTCTATTCAGCCTTCTAAAGTAAGATGAGCCCTGTTTCTCTAAACTTAAGATTCTTTAATGGATTCAAAAACGATTGACTAAAGTTATTATGTTACAAAGTTTTACTTGGTATGGTGTTATTATTTTTCTGTTCGGTAATGTTTATCCCACAGACAGTGGGTTTCTCAAAATGTTTAAAAAAATTGTATTCGCATCTTAAGAAATCATATATGGAAAGAGCATTCATAACAACATGGATTAAGTTAAAACTAAAATATCCGGAAAAAAAACTTAACTGTTCACTAAAGTAAAAATGAGGACGAGAAAAAATTATGTCATGATCAACAATGGTAAATGGACTTTATTTATATAGTGCGTTATCCAGACTTTACGACTCCTCAAAGCACTTTTACATTCTACAACTCATCATTCACCCATTAACAACACATTCACACAGAGCAATATGCCATTTTGCTCAAGTAAGCTAACATTCAGACACTGTTGGCCATGCCATCTGGAGCAACTCAGGGTTAAATATCTTGCCCAAGTATGCTTCGACATGTTGACTGCTGGGATCGAACCCACAAGGCAGCCACAGTAGCACACGAAAACTGTTTGTACCATGTAATAGTTGTATTACTTCTGGTCAATTCAATGGCCTGTCATTAAGACATACAAACCTAAAGCAAAGTCCCTACTGTTAAATGGACTATAAATATAGTACTACCTTCTCCACCTATTTAATATGAGCTCCTTCAGCTGGACAACACATTCCCTGTTACCCTTCAAACAACTTTTACGTAACCTTTCTTTATCTTCATTGCCTCTTTCCTTCCCTTTGTTTTTCTCGGTGTCACCTCGGGGCTGACCAGGTGGTGGGCTACTGCAGGCCCATTTCCTCAGCAGGTGTGTGTGTGTGTGCCTCTTTGTCGTCGTCTGTGTGTGCATGCATGCGTGTATAGAGAAATGTGTGTATGTGTGCACATTTACGTAGATATTATCTGTTCACCTGCTCCTTGTGAGCCACATAAGCAGTCATTGTGTGTCGAAGCTAGGACCAACCCCCTCCAGGTGACAACAGGTGTGTGTGTGTGTGTGTGTGTGTGTGTGTGTGTGTGTGTGTGTGTGTGTGTGTGTGTGTGTGTGTGTGTGTGTGTGTGTGTGTGGATAATATCAAGGAGGATATTGTTTGTGCTGGGGTGGGGGGAGATAAAAGCAGAGGGGAAGAGGTTACAGTCTCAATCTTTCCTCACCTGGAAATTATGTCCGCCGCCATTTTAGTGGAGTGTGTTTTCAATCACTGCAGGAACGTGAGAAATGTCCGCTTGGGAATTCCTCCCCAACTTCCTGTCTGTCTTCCTGTGTGTGTGTGTGTGTGTGTGTGTGTGTGTGTGTGTGTGTGTGTGTGTGTGTGTGTGTGTGTGTGTGTGTGTGTGTGTGTGTGTGTGCGTGCGTGCGTGCAAAATGTGTTTGTGCTGCTACAGGCAACATCTCTTTCACAGAAAGTGTCCTTTTTACACCAAAAAATCCTCAGACCTTTGTGTGAGCAGTTTCAACTCTTAATAATTGTTATATCTCTCACAGTCTCCGCTCTCTACTGGACTCTATGGTTACTAGCTTATCATGCAAGCATTCACCTACTGAGACAGTTATTGACGTAGCCGGACCTGGGGCGGGCCTACCTGAATGCGCGCGCATCTCACCGTATAAAAGGAGGCCTCGCCTCCTGACTGTCATCCCTTTCTCTTCAGCGAGCGGAAGTGATACACTGAGCATAGACGTGAATAAGAGAAAGAAAAGCATGGAACCACTCGTTGAGCACCGGACCTGCCCGACATGCCCTGGCCTGATCGCGGGGGCTGATCCGCACCGCCTATGCTTCCAGTGCCTGGGGCCTGACCACGCCGAAGACGGCCTAGGCCCGTCGCCGGCCTGTAACGCCTGCCGGATGATCCCTCGGCTGAGCTGCCGACATCGAGGCAATCATTTCCGGGTGAAGTTCGGCCTGCAGGTGGAGGATCAGGACCTCGAGGTGGTGGAGATGTATGAACTGGATGACGAGGTGCCATTCGAGTTCACCCTCCCATGTTCGCAGCTTGTTGATCCGGGGTGATCAGAGCGGGGCGACACTCAGACCGAACCCCTCCTTTGCGCCGAAGAGCCTAAGGAGTGCCTTCAGGTCGAGGATTATTCAGTTTGGGGGCTTTAGTCTTCCACCCCATAGTGGGGCCAGGGAAGCTAAACTGCACCTCCTCTGCCCGGTGCGTGCGCTAGCATATTATGTGGAGCGCACGGCTGCCCTTAGACGCACTGAACAGCTGTTTGTGTGCTTCGGGGGCGGGGTGACAGGGAAAGCTCTGTCCAAGAAACGCCTGGCAGGCTGGCTCTGCGAGTGCATTGTACATGCCTATGGACAGGCGGGGAGAGCCTGCCCCGCGGGGGTCCGTGCACACTCTACACGGACTGTGGCTGTGTCAACAGCCTTATTCAACAGTGTGAGTGTTGAGTACATATGCACGGCGGCATCTTGGTCAACGCCAGGCCCCTTCATATAGTTTTATCATCTGGACCTGTCTGGCTCTTTCTCCTCGTCTGTGCTTGCTGGGGCAACACAGGACTGGTGAGGAGGTTGGGTACTGTGGGTCAGTGGGCATCTGACCCCCTCCCCGGGCGTTCTTTCCGGGCGTTTTTTCTGGGCCCCCTGGAAGGTCCCGGGGGACGTTGTGCGCACTGGGCCCTTACGGGGCTGGAGGGCTCTCCTCGCCTCCCTAGGGGCAGGAGGGGAGAGCCCTCCACACTATAGTCCATGCAAACTCTGTACAGGGTCAGTGTCTGAGTGTGGGGGACATGGGGCACTTGTGCTCTCCCCGTGCTCCTTAGGGACTCTGGAGAGGTGGTGCATAGTGAGCCCATACGGGGCTGGGGACTCTCTCCGTCTGCCTATGGGCGGACGGGGGGAGCCCTCAGCACTGTTTTCCGAGAACACTTTTCACGAGGTAAGCGTGTCAGAGTGTGCTCTGTCAGCCGCAGCACAGACTTATCCACAGTTACAACCGAGGTAGAGGAGAGTGAGGTACAGCGGCAGGGGCAGTGGGGTGGAACGGTGTTGTTGGACGACAGCACGTGTATACATCGGGGCTCCGCCCACTGTGAGCCTGTGAGAGATATAACGAGGGGTTACGTATGGTAACCCTTGTTATATAAGCACAGGCGGGGCCCTCTACTCGGGGCACTGTCTGTCCTATACCGCTCGCTGAAGAGAGGTATAGGATGACGGTCTGGAGGCGAGGCCTCCTTTTATACGGTGAGATGCGCGCGCATTCAGTTAGGCCCGCCCCGGGCCGGCTACGTCTATAGAAGTTTCAGTAGGTGAATGCTTGCATGATAAGGTAGTACCCATATAGTCCAGTAGAGGGCCCCGCCTGTGCTTATATAACAAGGGTTACCATACGTAACCCCTCGTTTTATCTAACGTAAGAAAAATACTTGTGTAATTTGTTTCATACAGTGAGTGTGTTAACTGCTCTTAGAAAACACATTTTCCCTAAAACAAAAACTGACTATGTTACACAAATACATTTTAAAGGTGTTTAAAGTCAAAATAATTTTAAATGTGTTTCATTAATGTATTTAAGGGACAGGTCACCAAATGTACGTCACCCTTAATTCACCTGTTAGAGGGATTGCTACAGATCCTTCGAAAATAGCTGTATTTTGGCTCAAATGACATAGTAGTGATTATGATTTAGGCTTGGAATCTACAAATCTATAGTAGAAAGCCTGCAACGAAATGGGGAATGGATTTTCAAAAACATAGGCATATCTTCCTAAAATCCATAACATTTATGAAGTGCGAGGTTTTATTGATTGTTTGTGTATTACTTTAGCTTCAGTCTGATATTTCAAAGCTGGACTAGAGCTATATATTTGCTAAATATGCAACTATATACAGTATTAACTACTTCAAGCCATGTTTGCCTTGTACTTTCATTATGATATGTTCACCTTTCAAAATGGTCATTATCGGGGTGTGGCTTAAACGGGCAGCCTGTCCGTTTTTCCACCTCTATGACTTTTTACTAGATTAAGCTAGTGCTGCTGGCGCACCCACATTTGGGCTGATTGGGGCCAGAACATCTGTGAAATATACTGTAGTTTGACTTTGCTTTCACCAAGTTATCTGCTCATGATGACTCCAGGGTAGTGAAAACGATTTTGGTTTTAACATTAGTTATCCAGCGTTTGGCAGCAAAAATGAACGCCAGTGAATAAGCCATGGTTAGCTTGCTTAAAACAAGAGCCCTGAAGCCCTATCCCACTTCTATAAAGAGCCAGCTGGCTAGTTCATTTAAAGTCAATGAATATTGAATGGGTCCAAATTGCACCAAATGTATTACCACACGCTGTTGGGGCCCCAGCAATACAAATAATAATAATAATAAATGGGATTTATATAGCGCTTTTCTAGACCCAAAGACGCTTTACATTACACGTAAGGTCGACAAACAAAACAAGAACAAAAACACAAACAAAAACAAAAACAGAAAAGCAGTCAGGAGGATGTTGGTTCAGAGGGGGGAGGGGCGAGTTTAAGGATAAGCAGAGTTGAAGAGGTGGGTTTTGAGACGGGACTGGAACCGGGTGAGGGAATCAGACTCACGGAGGTCTTGGGGGAGGGAGTTCCAGAGCTTCGGGGCTGCCACAGAGAAGGCTCTGTCCCCGAAGCTCCGGAGTTTGGCCTTGGGGATTGAAAGCAAACCGGCTGAGGTGGATCTGAGGGACCGGGGTGGTTGGTAGAGGATGAGGAGGTCAGTGAGGTAGGGGGGGGCCAGATGGTGGAGGGCTTTATAGGTGAGGACCAGGAGTTTGTAGTGAATGCGGTGTGAGACGGGGAGCCAGTGGAGTTCTTTGAGGACCGGGGTGATGTGATGCCATGATTTGGTGTGGGTGAGGAGTCTGGCGGCTGCGTTCTGGACACGCTGGAGTCTGTTGAGGGATGTTGTGCTGATGCCGAAGAGGAGTGAGTTGCAATAGTCAAGGCGTGAGGAGATGAAGGCGTGAATGAGTCGCTCAGCTGCAGGGCGGGTGAGAGAGGGACGGAGTTTGGCGATATTGCGGAGGTGGAAAAATGAGGTTTTTACAACTTGGCGGATGTGGGGGTCGAGGGAGAGGGTGGGGTCGAATATCACGCCAAGGTTGCGTGCCTGGGTGGAAGGGGAAACAGGGGTGCCATCGATGGTGAGTGTCAGGTTGGGGGTTTTGCTGAGGGTGGATTTGGAGCCGATGAGGAGGAGTTCAGTTTTATTGCTGTTGAGTTTGAGGAAGTTGTGTTGCAGGATTTTATTGCAGTCAGACAGGATTTTATGTGTGTGAGAGGGGGGTTGTGGGGGGATTTGGTGCTGAGGTAGATCTGTGTGTCGTCAGCATAGCAGTGAAAGTCCAGGTTGTGATGGCGGAGAATCTGACCAAGGGGTCTGACCAATACAGCAGCCAAGTATACTGTAGATTTGGTAAATGGTTCTCGAGGATTGCGGAGGATATACATATCAACATACACACAGGATTGCTTTATACTGTAGATGCTTCTTGAGTCATTTGCGAGTACTGTCCAAAGATATTGCAGATGTGTATTCTGACTCACTCAAACTAAAAAAACTAAAACAGGAAGGAGGAGAAACGTTACATCAGCAAAAGAACCATCGTCTGCAAAGAATGACACATTCAGAAACAGATAGATTCAGTTGCTTGGACAGAAAAAGCACACCTTTGTCTTTCTGAAACAAACACACACATTTTGTCTCAGGCTTGGACTCATTGATGGATAGCAGTTGTGGCAGCACTAGCACACGTTAGCATGTTGCGGCTGCAGAGCCTTGTATCTTTTGCTGAAGATCATAGCAGAGGCAAAGTGACAGCTTTCTTAGACAGATCTGCTTCCCTTTGTCCTTTTCTTGCCATTCCTCTAGTTTGTTGTGCATGTTGAGACAGTAGTGGTGTGCGTCTGGAGGTTTTGCGTTGTTGCCAGACTGAGCAGGTACATTCAATAGACTGTTGGCCATTTTGTTAGTGCTGCAACTTTTAAGTGCTTTAGCTGATACCTTCCAAACTTTCCGTCACATCCAATCATTCTCTCCCACTTTTTTTCCCAATGTTTAAAAGTTCCCTGTTGTCGTCAGCAGTCCTGTGTTCCTGTTCCACAACATATACTCCCTTTTTTTTTTTGTGAATGTAAATGGTCTGCAAAGGCTAAAATCCCCCCCCCCTGCCTGAAAAGCATCCATTGGACTTCTTTGTTTACTTTGACGACATAATGGGATTACTATAGGCGCTTTCACACCGGAGTACTTTTCCCAGGAATAGTTCCGATAGTTCTTGGGATTTTGCTTTCACACCAAAAAGATCTGGAACTAAAACCTAGTTCATGCGAACCTTTTCACCCCTTTTCACCCCTTTTCACCCCTTCTCAGTCCCTGCTAGAGAGGTGGGACTTTCCTGTAGAGGAAAAGGTTCCAATTTCTGATTGGCTGGGCGAATTGCAAACCAAGCCCCATAAAACTCTGAAAAGTTTTGTGAAGCCGCCATTTTATTTGCTCGCATTAGCATTATTACCATTAGCTACTAATGCGCACCAACGGAGAGAGACTAACTTATGGCAACACAAAATAAAACGTGGGAGCGGTGGAGTGATGAGGAGGTGTCGGTGCTTCTGGCGATTTACCCGGGACTTCGGGTGGAGTTGTTCACGGCCTGCCAGTAAACCCAAAGCAGAAGAAGAAGAAGTGACGTCAGCGGCTTCATTTGCGTAATCCTCCCTCAGGGACTTATTCTGTTGTGAACGCGATCTACTAGGACAGTTCCGGGACTAAATACTGGGAACTAAGTACGGCAAAGTACTTGGTGTGAAAGCGGCTTATGTAACACTTGCGCTGCTAAGGTGTAAGACATTTTTAAGCTATTGACCAATCACAACAGAGCTGGCCAGCTAACCAATCAGAGCAGACTGGGCTCTGGTTTGAGACAGAGGGTAAAAAGAGGTGCTGCAGACCCTTTAAACATAAAAGCATTTAAACATGTCCCATTAACATAATATTTCCTCTCTTGACGTTTGAAAAT